CGATCACTACTCATAACAAGCACAGGGGCTGGTTACAGGGTGCTGGGGCCTCTGGCAAGCTGCCTCTTTACTGAGCTGACATCACCCCCTGGGAGAGAGAATCACAATGTTCCTAGGTATACAGATAGCAAGACAGTGTGGTTATCTTTCCACACCATCGTCTCGGCAGATGCGACTGGAATTCTGTTTCCAAACACAGATTAGCTATGTTTTTCCCTATTTGTTTTGCTAATAGAACTGAACTCATGAGAAGTGGCTAAATCAGGGTGGGTTCAGGATTCTTTTTGCTGACAAAAAGAAATTAGTAAAGCCAGAGGCTCAAGAAAAAAGGGTGCCTATATCTTTGCCTGACAAGGATGATCTGAGAACCTGTCACAACCACAGCCTGGTAAAAAAAAAAAAAAAGCATTGCAACCCTGTGATGGCGAGCATGTCTGTTGACAGCTACCGACTCGGCATTGAAAGTAATGTTAACCTTGCTAGGAACCAAATGGACTAAAGAGAATTCATTCCAAACACCTTCTCATTATGCCTATAATAGTTACCCGTTTAGGTTGACCATATTCCCATGCATGGCCATCTCCCCAGCCCTCAATTTGATTCTTTAAAACCCCACATGTTCAGTAAAACCGAAATAATAAAGCAACAATAAAACATAAAGAAAATAAAAACTACAGTGATGGTCTTGAGCCCTAACATAATGACAACTACATTAAATGTAAATGGTTTAAATACACCAAGCAAAAGATAAAAATTGTCAGAGAAAAAAAATTAATAGCCCGACTATGTGATGTCCATAAGGAACTCATTTCAAAAATAATAATATGAGCAGGCTCAAAGTAAACAAATCAGAAAGATGTCTTATGACTGTCACTCAAAAGAAGACAGGGACTGTTCAATCAATGTCAGATGAATATGCTCAAAGAAGATTGCAGAGACAGAAATCAAAATCATATAATGGCATGAAGATGAGTTTAGCAAAAGTACATGGTGACTCTACATTGTATGCACCTAAGGGAAGAGTTCCAATACATATGCACCTATGTACAAAAGCAATTGTAAACTTCAATCAAGCGAAGTTTATTCTAGAAGTGAGATAGGTTCAATATTTGAAAACTTCTCTGTGTGATTCATCTAATCAATGGCTAAGGAAATGATATGGAAACCTGTAGACAGAATTTTCTCCAGTCCTGCCTTGCCCAGTGGTCTGGACACATCTCTCCCCCCACATAGTCCCACAGCTGCTTATAAAAAATTTACTCAGAGGCTTATATTAATTACAAACTGTATGGCCTATGGCTCCAGCCATATTAGCTAGCTCTTTCAACTTACTTCAGCCCATTCCTAATAATCTGTGTCTTGTCACATGGCTTTGTGGCTTACCGGTACTTTCACATCTTCCTTCTTGGGTGGCTGGATCACATCTCCCCTGACTCTGCCTCTTTTCTCTGTATCTCTCTTGGATTTCCCACCTGGCTGTAAGCTTTCTTGCCATAGGCCAAAACAGGTTCTTTATTAACCAATAAGAGCCACACACATTCACTGCATACAGAAAGATATCCCACAGCAGAAGCCTTTCTAACAGTTCATGTTGGAGCAGCTGTTACCCACATGCCTTCTAACACCTTATATGAAAGTCCATTCAATATATCAACTCAAATACAAAACCCAAACTGAAAATGTTTACAAGGAAACAAGAAAGGCAATCTTCTGAGCTATGCTTAGTGAAGACTTCTTAAACATGACATCAAAATCATGATTCATAAAAGAGAAATGTTATTAACTTTGCCGAAATTTAAAACTCTACCAAAAGTTAAAAACTTTACCAAAATTATAAAATGTATTCTAAAAAGAACAAAATAAAGACAAGTTACAGATTGGAAGAAAAGAATTAAAAGCGGATATCTGGTAAAGGAATAGTATCTGAAATACATAAAGAAATCTCAGATATCAGCAACATGTCCCCTTCACACTCTTCAGTATAACTACAGCGTGAAATCCTAGGGCACAGGGGGCACTGAGGATAAGGAGAGGCTGGAACCCTTGTGCACTGTTCGAGCGAATGTGAAGTGATACAGGGGATGTGGCAGACAACGAGACGTCCCTCAAACAGTGAAAAATGAAAGGAGCGTATGACCCAGCAGTTCCATTTCTGACCCAAAAGAAGTGAGAGCAGAGCCCCAGAGAGATGTCTGCACATCTGCAGCCACAGAAGCATCGTTTCCAATGGAAAAGGTGGAAACAGCTCAGACCCAGCGACAGATAAATGGATAAGTGAAATGTGATGGATGCATAGAGAAATATTACTCAGCCTCAAAACAGAAGTCAATTCTGACACAAGCTTCCACATCAATGAACCCTGAGGATCTCACATGTGGTAAACAGCCAGTCACAAAAAGACAAATAAACATGACTGTGCTCATATGGCGTCTCTAGTGCAGTCAGATTCTTGGGATTGAGGAGGAAGGTTATCAGGGTGAGTTGGGGAAAAATGGAGAGTTGTTTCAAGGGCAGGGAGTTTCAGTTTTGTAAGATTAGAATGTTCTGGAAATTGGTGTGTGATCACGGAAATGTACAGGGCTCCTGAACTTTAAGGCACTTTAAGACTATTAAAATAGAGGTTTCGGAGATGGCTTGGTGGGTAAAAAAAAAAAAAAAAAAAAACTTGCCATGCAAGCCAGAGTTTAGATGCCCAGAACTCATGTAAAAGCTGGGTACAGGAGCACATGTGTCTATAATCCCAGTGTACCTACATAGAGATGAGAGGTGGATATGGGAGAATTCCCAGAAATTAAAGCCAGGAGCCTGCAATAAACAAAGAGAGATGCTACCTCAAACAAGACAGAAAGTAAAGACCCCCTCCCCAAGATTGTCCTCAGACTTCCACATATGTGGCCAAACAAACACATACATACACAAACAAAAAAATATTAATGGCAAATTTTGTTGTGCACATTTTACTATCCTTTTTAGAAACATAACCAATGAAAAAACAGAAGACATGAACATGTATTTTACCAAAGATAACATAAAGTAATAAACAAACCCATAAACTTCAACATCCCTAACCACTAGAGGATGCAAATTGAAACCACAGAGAGCCGGGCAGGGTGGCACATGCCTGTCATTTCAGTACTGGGGAGGCAGAAGCAGGAGAATCAGGATTCCAAGGCTAGCTTTGGCTACATAGTAAGTTTGAAGCCAGCCTGTGCTACATGAAACCCTCCAATGCCCTTCCAATTAGTGGCCATACCGAGTGCTAGCAATAATGCAGGAAGCCAGATGCCTCCTGTTCTTCTATGGGATGTAAGATGGTTCTGTCCTCTGGAAAACAGTAGAGAAGTCTCCTTTACAGCTAAGCACACCCTGACACACACAACTCTATGTTTCTGCTCCTGGGCTCTTATCCCAGAGAAATGAAACATGTCCACACAAAAACACAGCCCACATTTGGAAATGACCAAAATGTTCTACAATCTGAGACTATTTAAACACCCTGGCAAGTCCACACCAGAAACAAGAGGGAAGGAATGCCTGGAGTACACGACATCTGGATGGAGCTCAAGGTCAGAGTGGGGATGACGCCAAGCCCCAAAGTTAACAAATGCAATATTCTTTAAAATACCAGACAACAAAAATGAAGATTGGGGCAGCGATTGCCAAGGTTTTGAAAGTGGAGCGATACTAACCAGAGGAGGGGGGTCAGGAGCATTGGCTCTGTCTCTTCGTTGTGGTGGTTATACAATCCTGTACAAGGATTTTTTTTTAAACTTCACAGAGCTAGCCCACACTTTTCTCTAATGCTGATGTCTAGTTTTAATGTTATGCCACAGTTAAACAAGATTGCTAAACAGGTGAAGGATTATGGGGCCTCTCTCCACTGCCCTTGCTGTTTCTTGTGCGTCTTACGTTATTTCAAAATTAAACAAGGATTTAAAAGGTCAAGACATGTCTGGGGATGTGGCTCAGTTGGTAGAATATTTGCCTACCATGCACCAAATCTTGGATTCTATCCACAGCACTTCACAGTGTGGTGGTGCACACCATAATCCCGGCACTTGCATAGTGGAGGCAGGAAGATCAGAAGTTCAAGGTCCTCAGCTACCTAGTAAGCTCCAGTGTAGGTTATGTGAGTCTCTGACTCAAAAAATAAAAAGGAAAATGGTATGAACCCGTTAGTGGTCTTTTTAGACTGCCGTGTGACTCTGGTGAAGCAGGGCCTCTTTGCCAGATGCTGTTATGGATGTTACTATGCAATCACCCTCCTGACAGATTTGGAGGCATCTTCTTTCAGCCACCATAAACTGTTGCCGTGTGTGTGTGTGTGTGTGTGTGTGTGTGTGTGTGTGTGTGTGTGTGTGTGTGCTGGTGCAAGCCCAAGTGCATGCTGAGACACAGAGAGGCTGTGGCTGAGAAATAAATAGCCTCAATTCTAAGTGGACGGGCGGGGCTAAAGCAATATTTGTGATGCTGGCCACACGCACTGCTAAGACCATTACACTACACTGCCCCTAATGGAAGGAAGTGTTAAATTTCCACGTCAGGTTGTTTAAAACAGATGTGTCTGTGTGTGAGTGTCTCTATGTGACTTTGTATCATTTTTTTTCTTATCAAGCTCACAGGTTCCTGACTTCTTGCCCCAGGTGAAGAACATCAGCTTGGAACAGTCTCACCCCGTCCCACGAGTTCTGATGGGTTTTCCTGTTTTCATCTCTGTTCAGTTGAAAATATTTTCTTCTTTGCATTGTGGTTTCCTCTTTGACCCGGGGCCTGTTTAGTCGTGTAGCCCTCTGCATCTACTCAGACCCACAGCCCGCTCCTTGCAAATGTGTTTTAGCTGCTGCATCCTTGGAGCCTGCTCCAGATGCTCGCCCAGCACAGGTGACTTCAGTGTGAGACACGAGGTTGATGGAGGCTTGACCACGGCAGGCAGGACAAAGTGTTTCATACATACATCTTACCAAGTCAAGTCAAGATTTATTCCTTTTTTTTTTTTTTAATGAGCAGAAGCACAGGTTCCATTTTCAAAGACTGCCTGGTGGGGGACCTGGGGTTTGGGAAGGTCAGGACAGGTGTTCCCCGCTGTGGGTCCTTCTTGCTTCCACCTGTCTGGGCTTTGTCCTCTGCTCTCTGTCAAAGTGAGGCGTGACCTTGGGGGCTACCAGGGAACAGGATGAAAAGCTTCTAGCCGAGGAGGAGCCACAGCAGGCTCTAGCTGAGCTGTCCTGCACTGGCAGCAGTCAGAGAGGCACCTGGGCCGCTACGGCTGAAGAAGGGTGGGGAGTTGGGGTCACACATTGTCAACCCAGGATAGTGACGGGCTTGTCACAAATCTGGAAATGCATGGTGAGCTGGCTAAGCATCACCTGAGCTATGTGACACAGGGGGGTCGGAAATTAAAGAGAGGCTGTGGAGTTGGTTTTCGGTGTCCGGCTGACCACCTGGCCTTCAGGATGCACTTGGGATTCCTGGCTTTGGTTCCCCATGGGCACAGAGAGGCAGAACTGGATTCCTTCCCTGGCAGTTCTCTTCCTAACTGCATGATGCTGTGCCTGTTGAGTGAGCAGCCTGGCCCCCGTGAGCCTCAGTTTGCCCCATGTGAGCAGGAACAGGTAACAGCTGTCCACTGGGGGATCAGTAGATGGACCAAAGATCCTAGGCAAGGGAAAGTATGCTGAAAATTGATGTAACCTGTTTTCCAAACCACCCAGCTGGAGTTTAGGAACAAGGTCATAGAAACAGGGCTGAGTTGACATTTTCTCTTGACTCCATCCTCTACCAGTCCTAGAGAAACCTGGCTTTTTCACACACTCCTAACCCTTAGGCCACACCCCCCAATCCTCCAAAGGCCCCCATGAGTCTCAGGTACACTCAAGCCCCTGGTCTCTGATACCTGTACTCATTGAGAAGTATCCCACTCCATCAGCAGCTCCAAACACAATGGAGGGGCCCTGCCAGGCCAAGGAGTGTCCTTTGGGAGCTCTCCAGGGTGCCAGAAAGTGGGGAGCTGGTGTTGCATGCAGGAGGGGTGCTAACTTCTCACCAAGACCAGGACTAGAGAGAGCCAAATGAGACACGTGGGTGCAGGCTGTGTGAAGAGTTCCAAGTGACACCCAGATGTCAACCCTGCACTTGGACAACTCCGACACTGACTGTCTCCTTCTAATCCCCCACCTCCCACCCTTGTTTGTATCTGATTTCTGCCCATCACTGTGGAAAGCGTACCCATGGGTAGTCCCCAGAATGCTCAGCTCCTCACAGACACTGTCTTGGCCCGTGCATAGACAGGCATACCTGGAAGTCACACCTGGGATAGCTGCTTAGCCATCGCCACAGCTGCCTGGATCAAGAGGGAGAAGCTGCTAGAAAACACTGCTAGGTACTGGGAATGAGTATGGCTGAAGGAAGGGTGTTAAGGAGTGCACTTGACCCGGGTCTTTCAGCCCTCAGGCTCCAACTTGGGTGTGAAGAAGAGGGAGGGTGACGCACAGCTGTTGAGGACTATTATTGTAAAGTGTGTTACATCTATTTATGTTGCGTTTGTTTAACTCCGTGGCTTGCTGTGTAATTGGGTGGCTGGCCAAGGAGTCTTCCTCCTTCTCTGGCTCTTATTCCTTCCAGATTTCTCCTTCTATTAATTCTCTCTGCCTGCCTGCCTCGCCTATCCTTTCTCCTGCCTCGCCATTGGCCATTCAGCTTTTTATTAGACCGTCAGGTATTTTATTTATTTTCTTTATTTTATTTTATTTTTTCGAGACAGGTTTTCTCTGTGTAGCTTTGCGCCTTTCCTGGAACTCACTTTGTAGCCCAGGCTGGCCTCGAACTCACAGAGATCTGCCTGGCTCTGCCTCCCAAGTGCTAGGATTTAAGGCGTGCACCACCACCGCCTGGCATTTTAGTCAGGCACAGTAACACATCCTCACAGAGTTAAACAAATGCAACATAAACAAAAGTAACACACCTTAAAATAATTTTCCCCAACATATAGTGGGTGAGGAAGAAGCTGAAAGGAAACATGAGGAGTCCCTGATTCTCAGCCCTCCGACCCTGGGAAGCATCTCTGTGTTGTCCAGGGTTCCTTCTCCCTGTGTGCTCCAGCTGGGAAAGCAGAGAAATCTATTTTCTCTCCAGTTACAGCCTCTTGCTATCTGCCCTCGGCTGAAGCTGGGCTGGGGTCTGTACCTCTAGAGAAAGCCTCTCCTGAGCCCAGATCCCCAGCCCTTCCCACAGCCTGCCCATGATTTTTACCATCTTCTCCTCTTAGGTGAGTCTGTCCCAGGAAGCTGTCAGGGTCCTGGGCAAGCAGACCCCAGTGTTTTTGCTGGTTGCAGTCCCAAAGGCTCTGAATCCTGAGCAGACCTCAGCCCAATGCCTGGGGCCGGGTCAGCACGCCTCCGGTTCTGATGATCTCTCTGGTGTCCCGGCCTGTTAGGATTCCAGGTACGGTGGAGCAGTGTAGCGTGTCTCGGCTCCTTGACTGAATTAGCCACTTAAACAGGTGCCTGTCTGCCGGGTGACATGCTGCCAGAATTCCAAAAGGCCCCTGACCCATTCTAAGGGGGCTTCCAAGCCAGATACCAGACCCCACTAACCACTCACTTGGATCAAAGCCTAAGAGTGTCTCAATCCTAGGATGTGGAAGAAATTGTGAGGAGGACAGGAGGGCAGGGGATCCCCCTCATACATCCCAGGCCAGCGACTCCTGTAGAGAGCAACAGATATAGGAGTGGGTGTGGTACCCGAGCATTTCTGTTATCTGTCCCGGCCGACAAATCATCCCAAACTTAGCTTAGTATCTACCCATCTCTTGGGAGTTGACTGGGCAGAGACTGACAAGGCTCAGCTGGATGCCTCTTCTGCTGCATGCAGTAGCAGCTGGGCACACAGCTGGGCCAGACTGGGAGATCCCAGTTTGATTCTTCATATGGCTTGTGCTTAAAAGGGTGGCAGAAGGGCTGGGGTTCTGTCTCCACTTATGTGACGTCTCCACGAGCAATCTTCCCATGCGGTCACTGAAGGACACTAGCCTGGCTTCTTACCTGGCAGCTCAGGGTCTCACAAGGAGAAGCTTCCAGAGTTTCCTGAGGCTCAGCCTAAGCCTGGCATTGCATCACAGTTCTTTGTCCTTTTTGTTAAACTGAGTCACAAGCCAGCCCAGACTTCCCATGAGGGTATTATCCAAGAGCAGGAGAGCCAGGAGGCAGAATTTGTAGGGATCATCTTTGAAGTCACCCCACCAAGGGGGAGGAAATCCTTGATGTGGCTGGCCTCAGGTCACAGGTCAACTAAAGAAGCAGAACTTGCACGAATGCTCCATTGGTGATTCAAAACCACACACACACACACACACACACACACACACACACACACACACACACACACGTGCTGGGACATGGTCACCCCAGGCAGGCATAAAACTCTAATGTGGCCTTGAGATGTCCATTGTGCAAATCAGGCATGAGAGTGCACACCTGTGATCCAGCATTTGGGCGGCTCCGGGAGGAGGGTCGTGAGTTTGACACCGCCCTGTCTTGACAGCGGAGAGAAAGAGGTGACGTGGAAGGGAGGACTGAAAGAAGAGACAACTGGGGAGGGAAGAGGAGGCGGGAAGGGAAGCGGGAAGGCAGGCAGGAAGGGTTTCCATTCACAAGTCCCTTGGAGTGAGTGTGGTGACTCCCGCAACTGTGACAGCCAGACAGGTATAGGTTCTGATCAGGATCCTCAATTTCTATTGAAAAACATGTCACCTGCTCTACTAACTGTCAAAACATACAAATACCTGCGGGAAAACCCACTCGGCAAGTTCTTTCCCGAGAACGTAACCTGGAGCTCTGTGCCACCCTTCTGCATCAAAAACTTTCTGAGAGCAGTGATGTTCACGGCAAGCTTCATCCAGGGGATGAAGACCCAGCCAGTTCTTGTAGCTGCCCTTGAGAAAACCCAGCCTGGTCCCTCGGAAGCGGGATGGAGCCCGCACTGTGACTGCTGCCCACTCCTCTGCCCTCTCCATCTCTTGCTTCTGGGTCTTAATTTTCTACCATTCTGCACTTCACTGTCTGTGCAGGATCCTACAAGCCCTCTGTGGAAAGAGATGGAAAGAGGACAATCATGAGGGCCGACGCAGCAATAGACAAGGTGTCCCTGGAATGACAGCCCAGAATTTGACACAGAGAGATTGGTGAGGTTAACTAGAGCTGACCCACTTGGCACAAGCACTTACTGAGTACCTACTGTTTGCCTGACCTATGCAAGGTCCCATCCGTGAACAAATTAAGCGAGTTCTCTCTGGGAGGGCAGAGAGTCGGAGAGCTTGGCCTAGCAAGAACAAGGTGGTTTCAATGGGAGAGGCAAAGGTGAACCTGGTCAGAGGGGGAGAGAGAGATGGGCTCTGCTGCCCTTTTACCTGGGGAGCGGAGGCAACTGAAAGAAAGATCTTTTCCAGAAGGGGTGTTTAAATTAACACTTGAAAGACAGGAAGGATACCTCTGTGGGGCTTCTGGGAGAGAGAACAACCTATATGATGGGAAAGAAAAGCATGCCATGCCAGGGCTGGATCTCTGAAGGATCAGCTCAGGGCCGTCAGTGGAATGCAAGATTGGTTTAATCATCAAGATCAGCATATTTGTAGAACAACAAAATTTTTTTTTCTTTAAAATTTTTCTTGGACAAAACATTTGTATCCCTTCACAGTATACACAGTGAGACTGGGGTGTGTTTATACATTGGGAAACAATTGGATCATGCTAGGTCCTCACCTCACAGACTTTTGTTTACTCTGAGCTGTCTCCAAGGATGCAGTACGTGCTTATCCCCTCCCCTCACCATTTCTCTGCAGCCCATCTCCAGAACTTACCTCTTCTGTCCAATCAAAACTCCATCCCCATAGATGCAAGCTCCTGCGAGGTCGAATTTCTGTAACCGGCTTCTTTCACTTATAAAATATTCTCCAGCTCCATCCATGTTGCTAAAAATGTAATTTTTTTTTCCTAAGGCTAGATAGTCCCTCCAGAGAGAGGCACTATCTCTCACATGGTCTTTATCCACTCATTCACCAACAAATACTTAGGTTGATTCCGTGTTTGCTGCTGTTACAGTGAACTTGGGAGTGCACAGAGAGATCTCTTCACCATGCTCGTGTCACTCCTTTGAGTAGATTTCTACAAATGGTACTGCTCGTTAATGTTGCAGCTCTATTTTAAATGTTTCCTGTAAGGACTGTACCGATTACACTCTTGTACACAGCAGCCTAGGAACATTCCCTTTCCTCCAAATCCTCTCCGACACCTGTTATCTTTATCGTTTGGATAATGGCCATTCTAACAGGCACAGCCCATCCCTACATAGTGTTTGTTTGCATGTAATTAGTAACAATCTGAATACTATTAGCAGTGTTAGGTTTTCAATTAGTTACTGGCCAGGATATCTGTTCAGCCCTGCTGCCCATATTTTAACTAGGTCACCTGTTTCCTTGCTGATCATTTGTAGGCATTCCCACATTGGATTTGAACTCCTAGCTGATGAATGGTTTGCATACCATTCTCCCAGCCCTTGGGTTTTCTCTTCAGGGTGCTGATTATTACCTTTGCTGTGGAAAGTTCTTCAGTCTGACGTGCGCCCATGTATCTAGTTCTGCTCTTGTTGTTCTTTTAGGGTCGAAGACAAAGGATTGTTGCCTAGTCAAAGGTGGGTAGGCTCCCCCTGCTGTCTCCTAGTGGCTTTTAGTCTTTAATCCACTTTGAATTAATTTTTGTGTGTGGCAAAAGATCAGGTCCCATTCCAATCTTTGCATATGGGGGATCCAGTTTTCCCAACACCATTCACTGAAGAGACTGTCCCTTCCCAGCTGTGTGCCCCTGGCATCTTTATCGAAGATCAGTCAGTATGAGTGACTGGATCAGTTTCTGAGCTCTCAGTTCGGTCCCAGTGTCCACCTGCCGGCTCTCATCCTGCTGCTGGCTCTCATCCCGCTGCCACACTGTTTGATTACTGTCACTTTTCAGCAGAGTTTGAAATCAGGTAATGTGATACCTGCAGCTTTGTTCATTCAAGATCATTTGTGTTGCTCAGTCTCTTGTGATGTCATACACAAAAAGTTTGAGAGTATGTGTGAATTTTTTTTTTCATTCTTTGCAAAGTCTCCTTGAAGGTTTTAAGAAAGATTGGATTGAGTCTACAAGTTGCTTTGGGTAAGATGATATTCTAAAACTGTAATTCTCGATCTGGGGAGACAGCTAAACAGTTAAAGTGCACTGTGCAAGCATGAGGATCAGAGTTCAGATCCCCAGCAACCACATAAATACCAGGTGCTTATGGGAGCCTGCCTGTAATTGCAGGCTCAGAAGGGCGAGTCTCAGAGTAAGACAGCTGATGAGAACAGCCATATCAGAGACTCTGGGTGTGATTGAGAGACCCTGCCTCAATGAGCAAGGTGGATAAGAAATTGAAGATGATTCCCTGCATCAACCCCAGACATCCATGTGCACCACATGTGTGCAAACACGCACACACACACACACACACACACACACACACACACACACACGCGCGCGCGCGCGCGCGCGCGCGCGCGCGCGCGCACACACACACAGTGGGAAAAGAAAAATATACAAACACAGACCATCTTTGTGCTTCTTTGGGAGTTTCAATTGGAGTTTCAGTGCATTGAGTTTTTCTCTTAGCTTAATCTGTTCCTAAGTATTTTGCTCACTTTGTAGCTGTTGGAATTGCTTTCCTGGCTTCTTTTGTAGGTCCTTTCTGACTTCTGTCTCTGCTGAAGTTGTGTTCCATTCCTGAGTTGTCAGCGTTCTCTCGTAGCTCACTGAGATCTTTGGTCGTCTTAGTTTCTTTTCCTGCCGCTGCGATAAAATGCCTCCACAAAAGCAACTTAAAGGAAGGGAAGGTTCGTCTGGGCTCATACTTCAAGGAACAGTCCGTCAGGCAGGGCAGTCAAGGCAACAGGGACTTGAGACAGCTGGTCACATGACAACCCTGATTAAGAAGCAGGAGCAATGAAGGCCTGTGCTAAACTCACTCTATTTTCGGCAGGATCCAGGACCCCAGTCTAGGAAATGGCTCCACCCACAGTGGGCAGTTCTTCTCACCTCGATTAACACAATCAAGATAACTTCCCTCAGGCCTCCCCAGAGACCCATCTCCCAGATGATTCTAGATCCTGTCAACTTGACAACATTACCACCAAGACGATTATGTGAGTTCTTCTCAAGTAATCCATAATTTCTTTAGGCTCTACTACTGTAGTTTATTTTGTTTCTTTTTGGTACCATATGTCCCTGGTCATTCACAATCCTGTGACTATGTATTCCTGTCTTTGCATTAGACGTTGGCACCTCTTCCAACTTGTATATTCTGCCTGCAGTGAAAAGTCTTTCACCTACCAGCCAGACCAGAAAATCTGGGAAAGCCATCTGGTAGGGTCTGCAAGCAGACTTACAGCTGGAGATCTCAAGCAGACGGGCCTGCTGCTGGGTCAGCAGATGGGGGTCCTAGAGCCTGCATCCAGAGACTGGTCTGGAGCCTAGGTCCTCAGAGATGAGCCTCAAGGCCTCATGTGGGGAGGACCCATGTGGGGAGAACTGGTTGATTAGGAATATGGACTCATCCCTGATTTTTGGATTATAGGAATAGACCTTGACTTTGTATCCACTAGGGATAGCCTGGGGCCAAGGCAGGCTTTGAATCTAGTCTGTGGATATTGGGCTAGCCTAGCACTGAATAAGCCTGACATCTAGATCTGTAGGAGTAACCAGGAGCCTGAGTCTGTGGGGCCTGTCTGAAGCAGCACTTGTTAATGAAGTTCAAGCAGAACAGAATAAATTAAACTATGAGAGTGCCCTGCACCCAGGAAATATAAATATATTGATCTGTGACACTTTGGTTTCATTTGTCCATAGGGGTGATCAACTGGAAAGAATATGAAATGAATCCCATAGTGTAATTTGTGGCTAGAAAAGAAAACAGAGCCCACTCTGTGAAATAAACTGGAGGCAATATAAACAGGAGCTGGGAAAAGCAATCGAAAAGAAGCCTCACGAAGCTGGGAGAACTGAAAGAGAGAAGGCGTCAGACCAGGAAGAGAGGCTTGAGTGGCAGCAGGAAGGACCCGTGCCTGTTGCTCTCAGAGCCAGGAAGAGAGGGCTTGCTGCTGTAGAGGACCCTGGGAGGAGTGAGGTAGGGCACAGTATGAGCCCTGTGGACATTCACAAGCTGGTGGCAAGGCCGACAGAGCCTGAGGGTCAAAGCAGAGTAGACAGTGAAGAACTGAAGCCACGGGACTCCCTCAAAGGGTTTTGCCCTGTGAGGGAGCAAACTAAACGAGGTGGATGGCAGAAGAGGGTCTCTTAGGAGGCAGAACTGATTCCACACACAAATGGTTCAGGTCTCGCAGGTCCCGGTCATTCTCATCACAGTTCCAGAGGAGTGGGGGGAACTGGGATTTCATTTTTGCTCCTGTCCTGAGCATGGTACCAAGAACCTTGTGTGTGTTGGGTAAGAGCTCTATCATAGAGCTACTAACCAAGAAAATGGGGAGAACTGTCAAAATGACACTTTCCTCCCAACCCCATGGTCTTCCCAAGAACACAGGGTGGGTATGTCTTATAAAGAAACGGGAGGAAAGATGTTGAGGAGAGTATGCTTTTCTTGGCTAAGAGCCCATGTTGAGTTGTCCGACAGGCCTTCCCAGCTGCACACATCTCTAAGTCTCAGAAGTCCCATGTGTAGAGAAACAGGGATTAAAAAAAAGCGGGGGGGGGGGGGGATTAGGGTGGAGATCAGAGGAGGTAACAGACAAGACACACCACACATGTTGGGTCACAGAAAGTGCCTAACAAGTGCAATTGTTGTCTCTCCCTTCTGCCCTCTCCACACCCTCTATTCCTTCCTGGCCTCCTCACTGTCACTGAAGTCTGCTGGCCCCGTGGGAACGCCATACTTTGGTTTATGCTTGATCCTCTCTGGTGGGATGGTGTTGTATAACAACTTCCTCAGAGATAAAACCTTCCATCTTGGAAGCTTAAGGTCTGGGTTAAAGTGGGCATCATGATGGCTCACTGCCCACCCATCTGTCTATCCATCCATCTACCACTTTCTACCCATTCACCTACCTAACTCTTCATCCATGCATCTTTGTATCTGTACATTCATCTGTGTATCTGTCCATTCAAAAATACATCCATCCAACCACTATCCATCCATGCCTCCACTCATCCATTCATCCATCCACCCATCGCTCATCTATCATCTATCAAGCCCTGGAACTGATTTACAGCTGGTTGTAAAATCCCTGATATGGGTGCAAGGAACTGAACCCGGATCCTCTACGAAGATCAGCAAGTACTCTCAATCACTGAGCCATCTCTCCAGACCCACCTTGTGTTTCTTTATCAATGACTTACAATGTATTTTTGTATAATAGAGATGCTCAAAAATGCACAATTAATGCATTAGTGAAGAAGCATAGACAGATGGATAGATGGATGGATGGACAGGTGGATGGATGATGGATACATGGATGAGTAGTGGATAAGTGGATGCACAGATGATGAGTGGGTGGATAGATTTGTGGAGGTACAGATGCATGGATTAATGCATAGGTACATGCATGGATGGATGGAGGGAGGGATGAGAAGGTGAATAGATGGGTGGTTGGATGGATGGATGAATGGATGGATGGATGAATGGATGGATGGATGATGGATGGATGGAGAAATGGCTGGGCAGAGAGCTTTCTTGCTACTCACTTCAGCCCAGACCTCAGCCTGTCTCCCTCCCTGAGGCTGCACACAACCTGGACCACCATTGAAGCGAACAGTGACATAGGACAGCTCACCTGGGCCAGAGAGAAACTGTAGCCTCAGAAACCCAGATGAGAATCTGAAGATCTTTCAGGACCAAAGAAGCCACTCAGGAGGAGCCAGGCTGGGTGCAAACCTGCAAGGAGCCTCAGTGAGAGAAAATGATTTAATTATCAGAGTGTCACCAAACAAATTGTACGCCTCATTTTTGGGTACTTAATGCTTATGGTAATTAACATTACGGAGATTTTTCTTCTCTCTTCTGTTTATATTTAGTTTAGCCATTCACAATAAAGCTAAAATTATTTCAACTAATTTTAGGTGCTCCCTCGCCGTTGCCCCTCCATTGCCTCTCCATTGCTGCTCCCTAAATGCAATCTTTAACTTCAGAGACAGCCTAACGCAGGACAAATTGGAATCAATGCTGCCTTTGTCTTCGCTAATAAGTGGCTGCCACGCAGAGGAATGCAGAACTGCTAATTGGCTGCTCTCAATGGGGAAGAGACAATGGAGGGAGGATGCTGGGGATTAATTATAGGTCTGCCTTCTGCTGGCCCTGGCTTCTACTGCTCCTGGCTTGCAATGCATCTAGGCCGGGCCTCTCCACCCGCCTTCAGAAACAAGGCATCGCTCTCTCACGCCAGAGAGCTGGGAGTTCTCCTGGGTTTAGGAATGCAAACCTACGTACACAAAGGTCAAAGGGAAGAGAAGGGAAGGCGACCCTGAGCGCTAACAGGTTTGTGTGTGGAGGAAGAGGAAGAGGGGCCCAGGAAGGAATGCTCTGGGGTGGGGAGACCGCACACACTTACTCATGAGGGAGGCCCTTGTCACAAAAGGAAACTGACATTCTGATTGGGACACATTTTAGGTCGGTAAGCGCAGCTCCAACAAGGAGGCACACCTCCATCAGCTAAGCAAGAGGACTCCTCTGGGCCTACATGGGACTCAGACTTCACCTGATCCAATACTCACATTCTGAGACCTGCTGGGATAAGGCAATGGACCAAGCTCAACATCCGAAGATGACTAGTCCACATCCCACCCCAGCCCCACCCTCCCCCCCACCCCCGCTACTGCTACAGTACCTGGTCACCCGCCTCCCCTTGACCTTCAGTGTGGAGAAGAGGGCGGTCAGGAGCCGGCTGATGACCTGATGGAGACGGCACAGTTAATGCAGTGGTGGGCAGGGGTTTTTGACTTAGGCCTATTTGGTGGCAAAGCCCACGACTTGGGTCTACACTCCACACTGCTTAGCAGCCACATGTCCTAGGGAGACAGAGAAGGACATCAACGGCAGACCTCTTTCTAGAATTCCACCTTAACATTTCCATCTTAAATACTTCCTCAGTCTCCCCTATGTCCTGACCTTGGGGCTCAGGTGAGCAAAACAGAAAAACCAAATATTAACGCTTGCAGCTAGCGTCCTTTGGTAAAGATAATTCCAGTGTTTTAAGATCATAATGCTCTTGAGAGCGGCCTCCTTCCTAAGCACTCAGAGTACACACATCTAGGACGGATTGATTCTTACAATTGTGCTATTAAATCCTAAACTAGGCCGGTGTGAGTCACGTATTCAAAAGGAGAAACGGTTCTAGCATGTGAGTGTGTTCATTTTTTTTTCCCAAGTTTCCTTTTGTGCTCAACTCAAGAGAAATATTCGAAATTCAAGTAATGAGGTATTCATGGTGAGTCTGCCTCCCTGATGCCCAGGGTAAAAATAACATAAAATGGCTAGCCCTCTCTCCGCTTCCAGTGAAGGTGCTGGCTGGCTCTTTCCGTATGCTCACCTCTAAAATTTGAATACGAGTAAAATTTAAAGAAATTACTTCAATTCCTCGGTACATTTGCAGATCGATTAAGAAGGGGCCCAGCTTTGCAAGTCCTCCCCAGTTCATGGGAACTGCAGCCCACATCTGTTCGGCAAACAAAGGCCAGCTGTCACGTTTAAAGCAGGCTTGGCGGCGCCTGCTCACCTCAGCAGCCAATGCCACCCGCTGAACCCATCCTTCCCAGGCAGCCTCCCCAACCTGCAGGGGCCAAGCCTCCTGCAGGGCGCTAATGGTTTTGAAAAGCAGTCACTGCCTTGGGAGCCAAGCCTGGGCATCCCCCGTGCTGTCTCCTCCTGGCTTGGAGGCTCTCGGCAAAGGACTTCACCTTCTTTGTCTTGGTCCCAAGATGGAAATAGTAAGACACTAGCTAGCCAGAGTGTGGGATGAGCTCCTTCTGGAGGAACACACAGTACCCCCTCCCTATCGGCCCGGCCCGGTACTCAGTGAGCTGCACCTGGCAGGTGCACCATCCCTTATGCTTGTCCTTCAGAAGCCTATGCTGTCTGAGTTCCTCGGGAGTGGGGCTCGGAGAGCAGTCAGTCGACCTGGCACCTCCTCTCCTTTCTGCCTTTGTCCCTGGGTGCTGCCCTCAGAGCGTCCCTGTCTCCACTGGTTCTGTTGAGGTGACCATGGGAATCTCTCCAGCTGTGTGTCCCTTCATGGTGGTCCTTCTCAAGGTGGTCCTCTGTCCATCAGGGCCTGGTAACCACTCTTCTCAGCTGTCACCAGCCCCAGGACGCTGCACGTTGCAAGGTTCCTACCCGTACAATGCCCATACCTTTCTAGATAGCCTGTGACGGAGCCAGGCTCATCTTATCCTACGTGAGAATGCCCATCTGTTTCCTGCCAAGACTCCATAGGATGTGTCCTCCCTTTCTTAGGACTCCTCCAGGGTTTATAGAATGAGGAAGGAGGTCCCAGAAAGACCTGTTTTAAAATGCCTCCTCCTCCAAGAAACCCTCCAAGAGTGCACTAGCATCGTCTCTTTTCTTCTTGGTTCTTTGGAGCCCTGGGAGTTTTACTCTCTCTCTTGCATTGTGGGATTATCTGTCCCCACCCCCTCCATGACACTGCAGGGCCCTGAGAACAGAGACAGATTGTCATGCCTCTTTGAAATTTCTACTCCAGCTGATCAGCGCTACCGTGGCTTGCTCTGGCTCTGGCTCCCACAACCTCCACTCGCTCCATCTCTCCTGCCTAAAGCATGCTTAATTCCACCCTAGAATGAAGAGGACCCACTCACTGCCTGTCCCAGCTCCAAGTCAGCAGCTGCAGGCTCAAGGGTGTGGAAAGTGCCCTGCTTCCTGTTTTCCAAGATTCATCTAAGGAGTGATCAGGGCATCAGGGCCGAGTTCTGAACCGTTCTATAGCTGTGGGGGGCCTCCCTGGAGGAGATTTGAACTGGCCCTGCTCTCATTCCCCTGCTAAAGCTCTGCCCTAGACAGGGAGACTCCAGAGCAGGTAACTTGGGGACCCAAGACCAGACAATGAGATGGCTTCATGCATCAGAGAATGGACTATGTCGAGAGCTGACGGGATCAAGCCTACACGCCAGGACAGGGCCGAATCAAACAGATCAAGTTCCAGACCCTGGAAAGGGCACACTGGGGAGGGGAGACAAGGATGGAGCCGGGACAAGCAAGCCAAAGGGTCCCTGTCCTTCTCAAGACCTCAGCCTCCATCAACAGAAAGTTGATGATTTTGAGTAAGCAGCTTCTGTGGGTCCTTGTGACGAGCCCTCTTGGATGCTAAGGGTGGACCTGCATGGATGAGGGTGCAGCTGCAAGGGAAGATCTGACATTCCCTACTTCCCATCCCCCACGCAGGCGACCCAGTGACCTTGAAGGCATCTCCATGAGTTGGCTGGGGATGTCACAGAGGCTCAGCCTGCTTTGCTTGCATAGAGCACAGGTGTGCCAGATTCCAAGGGAGCGGGCAGTGAAGTTGTGCCGGCTTCCTCTTGGCTTCACAGAGGCCCTGGCTGCTGAATAAGAAAAGAGCCAAGGGCCAGGGCTTGCCCTCAGATCCCCCCCGAAGGGCCCTGGGCAGCTCTTTCTTCTTCAGGCTCTGGGTGCATGGCATAGCTCCTTTTGCCAGCCTCCTGCCCTGTGGTGCTGGGAGCTGGTCCCCAAGCCACAGGAAGAGCAGGCCAGCTCCTCAGGGGATGCCCAAGCCAGGTGTGCGGGGCTGTGCTCAGCAGCCTGCCAGCCCGACAGATGGCAGAGCAGAATTGCCATCCATCACCACTGTAAGTGGCCAACTCTCTCCCGGTGCCCTAGACAAATGGCTCTGCTCCTGCCTCCTCCCATCCTTTTCCATCCACCACTCCTGCCAGGCAGCCGGGTGGAGCTGGTTACTGAGCCAGCGAGTCCTGTGTGCAGAGTGTGGGGGAAGGTAGAGCTAAGAGCCACATGGAGGTGCATCTGTCACCGGAGAGCGAGTAGCTAACACCATAGGGCTGTGGAGGGGAAGTGGCATGCACATGAGGGTAGCAGTCTTACAGAAGTGTGCATGCACACACACACATGCACGAATGTGTGTGTGTGCACGCACGTGTGTACACAAGTACATGTGCACGTGTGAATGCCATCTACCTGCCCAGAGCACCACACAGGGAGGAATGCAGTCTGGCCTTTCATCCACAGTCTATCATAGCTTTAATTCTTGGGAGTAGTCCCTCAAGGCTTCTAGGGTAGTTTGGTTTAGCCACTGTGTCCCTTTATCCACACAGTAATGCACAGGGCAGATTACATCCATATCAACTGTCAAACGAGAAGTCACATGCCAGCCCTCTTGGCCAAGTCAGAACATCATCAGACCACAGGTCAGGTCGTCCCTTGAGATCCAGCTCAGACAACTGCCAGGCAACTGAGTCCCCACTTGACGTCAAGAAATTCAAGCCAGTGAACTGACTGGGTAACTTGAGACGCCACACTGGAACTGTCTCCAGTTCTAAGGTCCCTGATGCCAAGTGTGGCCGGTGACACTGTGTCTCAGCTCTCCTGCTCCCCAACTCCAGAGCACCAGTGAATGACTGAATCCTTCAGAGCCCCCATTTGTTTCCTTTTCTGAAAAGTGGAGTGAGCTCTGCCCAGCTCTGTGGGCCCTGTGTCCTGCCAGGCCCTCCTGGAGATGTGGGCAGGAGAAGCACATGTCACAGGCAAACCCCAAACACTGCAGGACAGCTGGGCCAGCAGACAGCTGAGGGGAGGGGTCGGTAACCCTAGTACAGGGGTAGAGAGGAGAACACATGAATTACAACTTAAGGCAGGATATAGTCCCGTTCTGTAGGAAGCAGAGAGACAGACAGAATCAGGCCAGGCTATGACCCATAATGTCCTCACAGTGATCCACACTCTCCAGCAAGACCTCACTCCACAGCCTTCTAAAACAGCACCACCAAGTATTCAAACACATAAGTCTGTGGCAGACGGCTCACATTCAAATCAGAGTGTGGGGCCTGGGTAGGCAAGGGAGAAACCTTTGCCTGAGGCCTTGTGCGATCAGAACTCACTGAAGATTTTCAGATTCCATCTCTTGAATCATCAGGGGCCCCATAATGGGCATGGGAGCTCGGGGTCAAGTCTGTGAGGGGCTCCAAAAAGATAGGAGAGTTCGTGGATTTCAAGGGCATATCACTGGTCACCCCCACCCACTTCCACTCTCACTCCCTGCCTGCCTCCATCTTTCCTTCCCTTGTTCCCTAATCTCCCTTCCCTTCCCTTTCTCCCTCCCTCTAATGCTAGGGACCAAACTCCAGGCCTCATTCATTTTAGGAAAATGCTCTACTACTGAGCTAAGCTTTCATCCGGTGACAGTCACTTGATTACAATAAATCCAACATCTTGCTCCTGCTTTCAAATACCAGGGACCCAAGCCGGGTGGTGGTGGCACACGCCTTTAATCCCAGCACTCGGGAGGCAGAGCCAGGAAGATCTCTGTGAGTTTGAGGCCAGCCTGGTTTACAGAGTGAGATCCAGGACAGGCACCAAAACTACACAGAGAAACCCTGTCTTGAAAATTTAAAAAAAAAAAAAAATCAAATACCAGGGACCCAAGCACAAAATACAGAGGGACCTGAATCGGCAGTTCTTTGTGAACATGAGCTGTCAGACACCTACACATCCTTCAAAGCCCAGATCTCACCTCTCAGTGCAGCCCTCCTCAGCCTCCCACCTCACACATGCTCTTCCCCAGGGCCTGTCCTATGCAAACCTGTTCTCTCTCCCTGACTGACCCAGCCAGCTGCCCCTCTCATTCCCACCCCAAGAGATTATTAACACGATGCCTAAGACATCTGGGAAATGAGTGAATTCACTCTTTCATTACTTTAATTGTCCATAAGCTCCCAAAAGCCATAAGAGTTATATGGCCAGTTACCAAAAAATGACCTGAGTCAAGCTGTATCAATAGAGGTATATGGTAGCCAGGGCCATGGAGATGAGCAACGCGCTCTGATCTGTACTGCTCAAGAAGAAAGCAAGATGAAGGAGGTCAGAGTCTAAAAAATATGAGCCACAGAAGCATTTAAGAGAGCTAGAGAGGAGCTTCAGAGCCTCTAAGAAATGGAGGGGCAGAGGGAGCCTGACACCGCCTCTCTAGGGCTCCTTCACAACTCCACCATCCTTCCCAGCCCAGGGCATCCTGGCTGCCCCACTGTGTCCCATCCGATGGAGAGAGCAGACCTCTTAAGATGCCCCACCTGAAGCAGCAGGTGGAGTCTCCAGGCTTGCACTGATGACTCCTGGACCAGGAGGTCACCTGGACTCAGAGGCAAGCCGTGTGATGTTGGGCTGGCTCAAGCAATTGGACATCCCTAAATAAACCAACGCAGAGTCCAACTTTAAATCCTAAGCTGTTTACTTTGGGGAAGAAGCACTAACTTGTGGTCTCCAGGCTGATGTGGCTTCTGATTTTCTTGCACCTTTCGGAGCAGGTGAGAGCTTGTTCACACAACTCCTTCGTTCCCAGAATTCCTAGCCACATGCACCAGTAACACATTACAATGAGGTTAGCGGCAGACACTCCTCCATCTGCCCCAATCTGCTTTCTCCGGATCCAGTCAACCGAGAAGGAGCCTCGCCAAGCAGATACCTCCAGTGAGGTCTTGGAAAAAGCCAGGCTCCCTCTGTAATTTCCTCTTGGACTCCTACCACCCCCTCACCCCCTCCCCAGCTAATTGCAGGAAGAATTGTTATGCTAATTATCA